CGAAAGGTATCCTCGTCCTGGGCATAAGGGTAAAATCTTTTTGGGCTTTAAAGATTATTGGGCTTCTCTCGTTCTGGGCTGATACTCTGAAGTAGGAATCCTTTGGGCTGTAAGTTTTCCTGGCTTCTAGTATTGTACTGTTTCTCGAGAAAAGTTCGCAGCTGATTGAGTGGAATTGCCAGCTATCTTGGCAGTTGCTGTGATAACTGGAAGACGGCTTAGTCAGAGGCTGATGAGGCATCTCGTGGGACGACTTCCGTGGTCTCCCATCGTCGAACTTCTAGGAGCTATCCACAACTTGTAGCATTCCCACTTTCCTCTTCGTTCCTGGGCTACCCAGCAACTACCATCGAATCACGCTGTACAGTCAAACGGACCTTGGTTTGTCCATGTTTGGCCATTTGGCTGCGTGGCTGCATCCCCCTGGGTGTCTGATTTCTTGATGAGTGTTGTATGCCAGTGCTCAGTGTGCGTGCATTGCATTATGCTCGGTTTTGTGTGATACCGTGAAATCATGCAAGAAAAAATATTGTCAAATGCCTACGTTACTATTTATATTAAAATGGGGAATTTTGTATAACCCTACATATATCTATCACATAAGAGATCGAAAAAGATGAATGTACAAAATTCAAGAAAAGCAATAAATGATTAACCTATGTGCCGTGATATGCTTTATACCTCATTTAAACTTCATAGAAATCCTATTTTATATGTGAAGTACCAACATTTATGCTGCAAATTAAATTTCACTTACTATAGTTCTTACTCGAAATAATCTATGATTAGGACTTCAATAAAAAAAAGAAAATAACTCCTCGAATACTCTAAAATTATGATTATTCATCTAAGTTTTGTAATAACATATCTACTAAATTCCTATCAAGATATTAAAAACTTGATTAATTATTATTCCTATAAATAAATGATAAATAATATACTAGCAACATAGTGCAACACGAATCAAGTGTCAAGTTCATATTTATTTACTATATCGAGTTCGTCAAAATGCATGCTATTCAATTTCATCACTACTAGTGACCTAGTAAGCAATATTAAAATATGAAATTTGCTGAAAAAAGTTCGTGCATTTTTAGGGGAATTCGATAATCGTAACTACTTTCTTTAAAAATCAGAAACCAAATTATGGAAAGTTGTTTCTTAATTAAAAAATTTGAAGATTGTTTGTATAAACAAAATATTAATTATAAGTTACTTATCCACTTGTTTATTTCCTATTCATGTGAAATTATGAGAAATTGTTCGATAGGTTTCCGCATTTGATTCAAAATGTCAATGGATTTGAATGCTTTTCAGTTACAAGAAATCTCTCTCAAACACGAGATTAAAATAAATTGCCAATATTGCCAATTAAAAATTATTCATATAATAACAGGTGAATTGAAATAATGGAAAAAAAAATAATCAGAGTCATGTTGAAAAACCAACGTGCCTTCTCGTTGAAAATTTTTAATAAAAAAAAATTACCTATCTGATAAATGTATAATCGAAATTTTCACCATGTTATTTCATACTTACATATTGATCATTTTTGACATTCCAGGTCCAATCCGTAAGATTTAAAAGGATATTCATCTGACAACTCATTATTGGCAGCTTGAATAAACTGATGAACCGTCCGAGAATTGGTACTTTCATGTACTTTGAGCAATATTTTGACTCAAGGTACCTTGAGATTATTTTTTGTTTAATATGAAATATTATCAGAACTTTATTCGATTTATTTATTTATCTGTGGTGTAACCGGTTCAACGAATATATTGGCGTTTATTCAATTTAAAAAAAAATAATTCCCCTATTCACCATGTTTCGATGAATTCAAGTAGGAAGATAGTTTATTATATGAAAATTGAAAGATATGTTGAGATATTTTATCACTTATACATTATTGAACTGATTGAAAATACTCCTTTTAAATACCGCATGCTCATTCCTCCAATTTTGTTAGAACTAGACCGTACATTTCTTTGTTCAACAACTCGCAAATATTTTCCATTTTCGGAAAATCATCCCCGGGGGTAAATATCATTATAATCATCTTCATAATTCATAAATATACATAATCATCATATACGAGCTCATTATTCCACATTAAATCATCATTTCATGTCCTATCAATTCGAGGACAAAATATATTCAGTAAGGTTAATCCTTCATGCCTTAGTGTGGCACATCTTCCAGGATTCCCTCCTATTTTCTGTTATAGTGCACACTTTCAACTATAACACTTCGTACTTTTTAGAATATCAACCAAACAGCTACTTCTCTGGATGTGGTTTGGCTAGGACCACGAGAAAATCTGAATAGGGTGACGATTATTCTGTACGGAAACGGTTTTCACTTGAAACCAAGTAACAATCTCTTCATTGAGAGTTTACATACACATCAATATTCTTGAGCTCAATTAATTCATTTTATATCATATTTCCATGACATAATAATATCATATTTGCGTATAATTCATTTCAGGAGGAATGACAAAAAATGGTAAACGATACCAACGTTTGAGAGTATTTTCAATGTTTGAAAGGTCATATATATACTGACTAAGATATTTTGAATCGAAACATTCTCAACTATTACTTGAATTATTAATTATTTGCATTCGCACTAATATTGAAATTAATTATGAATTATATCGAGCACGATGATTTGTTATTATTGTTTTCATTTCGTATTGTTATAAAATTATAGGCACGTTGTGAATGACTTATTATATTCTCAATTGAGTGTTCATGGCATTGGCATTGCGTTTCTTGAATGATTTTATCAACTCAAAATAAAAATATTTGAAATCATCTTGATATGAGAAATAAAAAACTGGCAAGAATGAGATATAGGAAAAACTGGTTCCCAAATTCAAATAGAAAATTACGAGTAGAAAAAACAAAATAACAAAGTTCAGAGATAAGCTCTAAACTTTGTGAGTCTGGTCCGGTGCTTTATATCATATGTGTCTGAATAGAAATGGAATGATTGTTATTCAACTCTTCAAGCTTAATCGTTTCTGAAATATTGAAAAAATAGAGGATGTCTAATTTAATTGAATTTCTTAGTTTGTTATCACCCATAATTCATGCTGCTATACTGAATCACTTTCAAATAACCCATTCTACTAGTGCCTTTGTATGAAATATAAAATTGACATAAATCGATTAATGGAAAAAAAATTGATGAGTCCATTATGAGGAATGAGACTCAAGGAAAGAAGCTTAGGCGCCTCCACCATGTCACGATATGAAGGGTTGGTGACTCCACCATGTCACAATAAAAGGGTTGTTTCCACCATGTTACGATACAATAGAGATGGTTGAGCTATCCATATGGATTTATAAAGGGGTAATGCTTGGCTTAATATTCTGCGAGAGGTAATATTCAAATAGGCACTAATAGTTTTGGGGTAACTGAAAGTACGAGACTACATTCAAACATAACAATATATATTATAGCATGAAACATTATGGGTGAAGTGATTATAAATATGAATAAACAACAATGAATATGAAGACCTAATAACAACTTACATTATAACGACCATACGACGAGCTCTTGTCAAGTCAAGAGTAGCCCCAGACCAGACTAACTTCGGAACCCTCAGATCCAATATTTATATACATCATTTTATTAGAAATGCACGTTTCTCATGAGAGTTCCTTGGTCAGTTTTCATAGTTCAATGTCAATTGATGATTTGAATAATTTTATGTTTATAAAACCCTCATGGTTACAAATTACTAATATACTGTATGTTCTACTCGTGACAATATTATCCGATACAGGGTGGAACTGTTGAAAAATTTTGAAATAATTAATGTTTCTCATACAGTCATACAAAAGGTTGAATATACAGTGTGTGCGATTTCAACTAGCAACATCCTCTTAATTTGGAACCTGTTGACATGAGCTCTCATTGAAAATGTTGAACAATGCCAATTCCGAAAAAATCAAATTCGTGTGTCAACGATTTGGGATATCAAACCCAAAGAGTACGTACAGACTGCTTTATTTTATTATTATTATCAAGAATGCATCAGAAGAGTCGATAAATGATCATGATTCAACTGGAAAATTGATCAGACGTGAAGAAGAGTCTAGTTTTTTAGAAGGAGAATGCGAATTCTCTACTTCAGAAGATTTTGTTTTCAAATTCTTATCGTGTGTGTTCAATAGATGTAATTCAATGTTCGTCGTGGCATATAGCCAGGAAAGTATAGTTGTTTCCTTTTGAATAAACCGAGAAAGAACCGATATTTTCATCATATGGAGAATGCGAATTCTCAATGTATTTCTTTATACAGTATGATGCAAATGTATGGAATAAATTCATTATTTCAGAAATGGGCGACATTTGAAGAAATTCCAAAAACACGTGAGTTTTAATTTTTGAAGCCTCATCTCATGACATTCATATGAGAGATGTTACGTCACTGGTGTAGAAGTAATGACGTAATGGACGATTTTTTCAAATACATGCAGGGGTCATGTGACATCTCGTTTGAAAGGTCTACTGATCGTCTATCCAACAGTCAAAATTTTGCATAAGAATATTGCAATTAAAATGGATTATCATTTGGTTAACTGAATCTTGCAGAGGTCTGCTACTGAGAATTGAACATCGAAGGGTCGTCTAGTTGAAAAAATACACAATAAAAAAAGTTTTGAACTCTAGTTTTTGGATTTTTTTCGGAAGTCGTCTTGTTTTGAAATGAATTTATTCCATACATTTGCATCATACTGTATATATATCCATTATTTTGTGTTCATATCTGAGAATATTCCTTCTAGCTCATTATTTTCTCTTGTGGCTTGATCCAAATTCGACCATCCTGTAGCTACAATGTTGCAATGATACATTATGTACAGTACGAGCTTTTTTCGTCGATATGATCAATGGTAGCCATGGAAACCGTCAGGATGTAAACAAAAGAACGGAGCCACCGTGGAAGTGCCAGTATATCGCTAGACTTATGAAATCTTCGGATGGAGAAATGGTTCAATGGAAGTAAACTGTGGTTGCTCGGGAACCAATTGCAGCTTCTGCCCAAACGGTATGTATAATCCACATTAGATCCCCATTATTCGAGGGCACAGCAGTGATTTTCCGGACATACTTTTTTTCGAATTTTTCCTGAAGGAAATATCCCCTTCAGTCCACTTAATGTAGAAAATGTGCCTTTATTTGATACAGAATATTTGTATCCTGAAGAATGAGAATGTGATTTCATGTATACCAGGTGGTCCATCACTGCTTAAGACTATCCACCCCTGATGATTTTACAAAAACACAACGAAACACGGTTTGAATTTGGAGAGGGACACCGTTTGACGCTGAGAAGATAATACATACTTATAATAATAATAAACTTTATCTTCCTTTTGATAGTTACAAAAATCATATAGGAATAGTCAGGAGAACAAAACAGTAAAATAATATTGCATCCCTGAGTTGAATAATATTTAATAAGGGAGTATATATAGTAACATGATGATGTCAAGAATTCATTGAGTTGGCTTTTGAAAGAGTTAATCTTCAGGATAGTCTTCAATATATGGGGTAGTCTATTAAAAAGCTTTTGTGCTAGAAAATTTGGTGCATTCTCTCTGATTTTGAGTTTTGCAAAGGGAACATAATAATTATTTTTCTGTCACTATTCAAATCAAGCTTTTCCTTATTCCTGAAAATGAACATACACATTTCAAATATATAAATACCAGTGACAGTTGGTTTAAATTGGTCTACAAGAAGTTCTCCTGGGCATATTAAACATACATCGTAATATCCTCTTTTGTGCTACCAACACGTCGGTCACTGCTAACTGCTACTTGAGGTACGCCTGTCACATTTCGAAATTATTCGCATTCTTCTGTTTTGAAATTTCTGTAACGATGACCGAGAGTTATTATCTAATAAATAGCACAAGAATAATTTTATTGTTTTTGAATCTGAATAAATAGGTAATTGAACTCAATAAAATTCATTTTATACCAGCATTAGCTATTACTCCATTATTTTCAAATCGAAATATTCCGAAAACGGAACATAGTATCGAGTTTCACCAAGAGTACCTTTTTGGTGTAGAATTGAATGACGTTCAAGTTCAGATCATATTAGGATTGAAAAATCCAACCTCAAAAAAGTTATGTTCAAAACTACTCGGTACAAACCGTGTAACTAGCGCCCTCTATGAGAGTCAGATATAAAAACAAATTCATGCGATATGTCAGATTTCAAGAAACATCCATACAAAATTTTATCATAATGTTGCCAGTAAATTCGACATAATCGTGAAAAATGTGTGAAAAAATCATTTTTTCAACACCTTGTATTATGAAAACAAAAGGCCGTTACGACATTTTTTCACTGAGCAAACCTAACTAATTTTGCAGTGTTCTACCTACTCTAGCAAGAGAGTCAGGTTTTTTTGATACACCCTGTATAGTACACTGTTATTTCAGTTTGGATGGGCAACACTGATGCTATTCTTGAAAAGAAGAATAGTTTTCTTGATATCTTATTTTGTATCATGTCGAAGTGTTCTTTAAATGACAGAGTTTCATCTAACATAACAACTAGGTAAGTAGGTATTTAAAGTGATGTACAATTTCTATTTCTTCGCCTTCGATGACCAAAGTAATATCATATTTTGTATTTATGAGTCTGTGCTTATACGGATTTGTTATGGTCATAGCTTCTGTTTTTTGGACATTGAGTTACAATTTATTTATTTTAAAATAGTTTTTAACTTTGACAGTTCTATATTCAACCTATTCTCCATGTGATTTAGTGAATCAACACAAATAGCTAATAGGGTATCATAATGCATACAAATTCATAGAATCACAGTTCATGTTACGATATAAATCATTCAAGTAGAGAAAAAATAGAAGTGGGCCTATAATACTCCCCTGGGGTACACCTATATCAACTAGCTTTTTCTTTGATAATGCATTATTTATTCTCACAACTTGACTTCTACCTGTTAAGTAATCATTCAGCCAGTCTAAGAAAACTCCCTCAAAGCCATAGTGTCTTAGTTTAGCTTTTAATATACCCCTACCAATGGTCTCAAATACTCTTTGAATCAAATATCGGTCAGTCTTATTCTGTGATTTGATTTTGAAAAATTGCGAATTTTGACTTTTTAGTAATTTACGTGAACGCGAAGTTGAATTGAAGATGAAAGGACTTGCAGTTCTTTCTCGGAGACGGTGTTATTGACGAAAGCCATCAACAGTGTATATATATATATATATATGTGATATATATTCGGGAAGAAGTACTCACTTGTTCCCCGTAGTAAAAAAGTAATTTATGGAAAGTGACATCTTATAACCTATCAACGGAGATGAAATTCCAAACTTTTTTCCCGTCACAGAAATTTGCCCTGGAATCACGATGCTCAGTTTTGAAACACGCTGATTGATTTTTTTTCTGGTTCCCACGAAAAGGAATATCCTGTAATGTTCAAAGAACATCGACAGAACCAGGAGGAATAAGGGAGGAATTGGTGTTCATCTTAAATATCTGGAGGTTATATATCACAGGGAACACCAGAGCCTTGCTGTTCGTTGGATGAACGAGTCTTTGGAAAGAGATGTTCTGCAGGTCTCCAAAGCGACCACGAAGGGGTGCGAAGCCTCAACTCGACGGGTTAATCTCGTGGAGACTGCCAAGGGAGGCAAACTTGTTGATATTTCAGAAGACCATCGTCCATGAAAATATCTATAAAATAGAGCCAGATCGCCAACTTTTCAACGGTGTTCCAGAGAAGTGAGTGAGTTTGTGAGCGAGGCATCACCCACGAGACGAATTGCCCTATTTTGGACAGATTCCAACAGTTTCAGGGTATGTTTGGGTGCTGCACTCCAAATATGGGAGCAGTATTCCAGGACAGGTCGGATCTGTGCCTTGTAGATCATAAGCAGCTGACTGAAATAGCTCTTGGTCCGAAACAGAAAACCAAGTTTTTGGGATGCACTTTCAGCAATTGATCTCACGTGATTTTCCCAAGGAAGGTTATTGCTCATAGTAATACCAAGCATCGAAATGGATTTATTCAAAGGTATGGTTATTCCTGACAAGCTTATGTTGGGCACAGTGGGATCGGCTTTTCTAGAGAGAAGGCATGTTTGTGTTTTGTTTGCATTGAAATCTACCAAGTTATTGGATCCCCATTCGAGAATTGTTGCCAAGTCCATATTTATTTTGTCAACATTTCTTTCTCGTTCGTTTCTGATTCGCCTGGCTGGTATTAGAGCCCGGTATGGAGGGTACTATCATCCGCGAAGCTGTATAGAATAATCCTTTAAAAAATTTTCAAAGTGTTATTTTTTTTTCAGAACGAGGACTTCTTCTAGATCTAGAAGCATGGAACGTTACGAGAGGATCGGTAAGTTGGGCGAAGGCAGCTATGGCATCGTATACAAGTGCCGAAACAAGGATACAGGGGAAATTGTGGCGATCAAAAAATTCGCAGAAAGTGAAGAAGATCCCCTGATCAGGAAGATAGCCCTCAGAGAAATAAGACTACTGAAGGTTAGTCATCATATCCAACTACGGAAGCGAAAAAAGGCCACTTGCGTGTATTATATTTTTTCGTTGACCAATACTATATAATAAATCACGTACGTTCTAATTTCCGAAAGAAAAACCGACTATTTCCGAAGGTAAGTACTTTTCGTCCGCAGACACTAACTTTTCGCCCGCAAAAACTTTTCGTCCGCTACAGGGTTGCCAGTTATACTGAATTTTCAGTAGATCTCCTGATTTGCATATTGATCTATAGATCTACTGAAACATTTCATAACCTACCAAAAAATATTTTGACAATTATTATTGAAGGTACCTACATTATTATTGATCTCTAGTTAATCACATACAATTATAAATTGCGTGATATTTCGGCACGCTTTGTTTAAATTAATTTTACGAAATAAGTAATGAATTTACATATACTTATAGGTACTAAATGATATGTGTGAACCAAAAAAGAATGTCCCTTAGGAATATCCGTTGGATGTCCCAATTGGTACAAAAAGAAAGAAAGAAAGAATTTTATTCATCTATGAGGACTATACATTACACATATGACAAAGATATAGTACAATGCACCATCCTATCAGACTAGAGTCAGTTCACAAAAAACAAAAAAGACAAACAACGGACAATGACATGCTATATAATAGTAATTATATCCAAAAGGAACATTATTATATAGGACAATAATTAATATTAATAGGTACACACAGATTTTTTAAAATTTGAGGAATTCCTCAACACTATAAAATGCATTAGAAATTAGAAATGAGTGGACCTTCTGCTTGAAGTTTCTTACATTATTTGAGTTTACATTCATCATTATGTTATTGATCTTATTGAAACACTTAATTCCAATGTGCTTTGGTGACTGCTGACCTATGTGTAGCCGTGAGAATGGTTGATGGATATTTGATTTTTGTCTTGTGTTATATGAATGTATATCTTCATTTTTGTCAAAAGCTTCCTCATTTCCTTTGACATACAGTATCAAGTGAAAAATGAAAAGACTAGGTAACGTCAGAATCTCTGATTTTTTAAAAAGTGGTTTAGATGATGTTATTGGTGACACATTATACATAGCTCTCAAGACTTCCTTTTGAGCTACAAAAGCTCTATCTAAGTGAGGTGAAGCACCCCAAAATATTAAACCATATTGGAGGGTTGACTGCACTAGTCCATAATAGAGAAGTTTTAATATGTGAAATGATACAGTTTCTCTAAGATTTCTTATCATATAACAATAAGTACTCAATTTTGTAGTTACAATGTTTATATGCGCTTCCCAGGTGAGCTTTGGATCTAATGTTATTCCCAAGAATTTGATAGTTTCAACACTCTCAATGGATTTCTTGTTTATGTGTAAATACGGCTCATAATCAGGTGTTACATTTTTTGGCAGAAAACGCATGAAATGAGTTTTTGTCACATTCAGTGTTAGTCCATTTTCTTTGCAGTACTGATCAAATTCATAGGATGCCTTGTTACTGTTCTCAATGAGTTGTTCAATTTCATCATTTGACATGAGTATATTAGTATCATCAGCATATTGAATAATTTGTTCGGTAGCTGAACAAAATTTAGTTATATCACTCATAAAGATGATAAAAAATAATGGGCCCAGTATCGATCCCTGTGGCACACCCAAAGTGGATTGACGAGGGTCAGATCTAGCATTATCGGTTATAACAACTTGTGTTCGGTTTGATAGATAGGACTCTGCCCAATCATAAGGCTTTCCACGTATTCCCATTCCATCCATTTTCTGCAGTAAGAGCTTGTGCATGGTCTACTGTGTCAAATGCACGGCTGAGATCATAAAAAAGCCCCAAAGTATTCTGTTTATCATTAAGTGCTTTATAAATAAAATCTAAACAGTCTGAAATGGCAGTTGCTGTAGATTTGCCCTTTCTAAAACCATTCTGGATGGCTGGTAACATGTTGAAATGCTCGAGGTAGTTACTAAGCCTTACATAATAAGCTGACTCAAAAACTTTTGTGATTTGGCTAGGTATACAAATAAGCCGATAGTTTTTTATATCTTTTGCTGAACCTTTATTTTTGTAAATAGGAATTCCTTTGAATTCTTTTATGTCAGGAAAAGAGCCCGACAGAAAAGATTCGTTAATCAGATACGAAAGAGGCTCTGCTATATATGGAGCTACTGATTTCAAAATCTTGCCATTGATCTCATCAGTACCTTCTGCAGGTTTAGATGTGGTTTTATGAATGATAGCAACTACCTCTTCAGGACTAACTGGAAAAAGAAAGAAACTTATATGAGATCTATCGATTTTCATTTTATAATTAGGGATAATATCATCTTGAGTTACATCTATGAAATAGTTATTAATAAAATTAGCTTTTTCTGTAGGTGTTGAGTGCATTTGTGTCTCCTCTCCAATTATGAGTGAGTTGATTGATGAATTTTTAGTTTTGCCTTCACTTTCGTTTATTATATTCCAGGATTCTTTCATTATATTGTTGCTGTTCTGAATTCGATCATTGTTTATATTCTTCAGATAATTTTGTGTCATTGTCTGATATTCCTTCTTGAATCTTCTGTAATGTTCAGTATACTTTGGGTCTTCTATCTCTTTTCTCAGCCTGTTCATTTCACACAACTGGTTATGCAGTTCTTTGATTTGAGGTGAGAGCTGATGTTTATGTTCACTTGGTTCACATTTTTTTCTTTTTGTTCTAGTGAAAACTGTATCATAATGGTATAAAAATGATGTATAAAATATAAAGAATTTTTCATTAAAGTTTTTAGCACCATACATATCGTTCCAATTTTCTCTTGATAAGATATTTTGAAAGGTACATATATTAGAGTCATTCAAGTGTCTTGTGTACATGTGTTGAACTGAAATATATCTTGATAAAGAAACATTTGAGGTACATACCTGATACGTATGATCAGACAAAAAATTGTCACATACCTTGATATTATCTACATCACAGTTGGTAAAAAAATTATCTATACAAGTAGACGTTGTCTTTGTTATTCTAGTTGGTACATTTATATGATGTCTGATGTTGAATTCTTTCAGAACATTGATTAGGTTGGAACTGCACTCTTCCAATGTTCTAGAAATAACGTCCTACGGACGTCTCAGTCGATATTTTCAATATGTTGTCTCTGGGAGGACGTTAACTTACACCTCGCCGATGAATGATTGCTCGTAGGCTATAAATACTCCCCGTCAATGTTCTTCACGTGAGTCCATTGGACATCCTTGATAAACTTTTTCCGGATCTATTGGGGACCTTCTATACGGACCATCAACTCAACTGGATGTCCTCATCAGTTGTCCTAGAGGGACCCAGAAAAATCCAAATTCAAGAATAATTCGTACGTCCCTGGGACCTCCTATGGACATCCAATTGATATCCCTCAGCGTTGCTGATAGGTTATCCTACGGATGTCCTCCGTAGTGCTTGATGACGGATACTGTAGGATTTAGGTATTCGATAGTTGTCCCAGGGACATCCCTCAAGGACGTCCCTAGTTGGTCCTCAAGTGGGACATTTGTGCGTCCCACAAATGTCCACGGTACCAAATTTGAACGTCCTATGGACGTCCTGAATGTCCCGACAGGGCGTCCTTAGGATACCCATGGGACATTATTGTGTTATTAGGGTGAAGTACATGAAGATTACATTAACCTTTTTCAAACTCAATGATGCCAATGAGACCACTCAACATATCAGACAAAGTTTGGATTCAGAGATGGAATACAATACAGTAGGCATTGGCTTCCTACACGCTTCCATAAAAATATGGTAAACTCACGCGTCTGCTTCCAGAACCTGAAACACCCGAACCTGGTGAACCTGATCGAGGTGTTCAGGCGCAAGCGCCGCCTGCACCTCGTCTTCGAGTTCTGCGAACGCACGGTGCTGCACGAGCTGGAACGCTGCCCTGCCGGCTGCCCCGACGACCTGGCGCGCCAGATCGTCTGGCAGACGCTGCGCGCAGTCGCGTACTGTCACCGGCACGGCTGCGTGCACAGGGACATCAAGCCAGAGAACATTCTGCTGACGGCGCAGGGCGTGGTCAAGCTGTGCGACTTCGGGTTCGCCAGGATGTTGAGTGAGTATGCGAGAGAATTCTTTGATGCGTACTACAATATAATAGAGACCATTCACTCTTCCATTTCATACTGTATAGAGACTTTTTCGACCCTTTCATTCATTCTGTATTCAAAAAACTTCCTCGGTGCGTACTACAAGAGTCCTTTCACCCTTTCATTCATACTGTATTCAAAAGACGTCTTCGATGCGTACTAAAAGAATCTTCTTACCCTTCCGTACATATTGTTTGCATTAATAATTTGCGCGGTGGCTTTTTTTTATGTTCTGGTTCCCACGAAAAGGGATATCCTGTAATGTTCAGAGAACATCGTGAGAACCAAAGAAAATAAGGTAGGAGTTGGTGTTCTTCTTGAATTTCTGCAGGTTATATGCCTTGAGGGACACTTCCCTTGGCAATGTGTTCCGGAGCCTCGCTGTTAGTTGGAGATAGATAAGAACATAAATTGAATATTACTGACGAAACGTCCATGAAAATATCTATGAAATAGAGCTAGATCGCCAACTTTTCTACGGTGCCCCAGAGAAGTGAGTGAGCTTGTGAGCGAGGCATCACCCACGAGACGAATTGCCCTTTTTTGGACAGAATCCAACAGTTTCAGGGTATGTTTGGGTGCTGCACTCCAAATATTGGAACAGTATTCCAGGACAGGTCGAATTTGTGCCTTATAGATCATAAGCAGCTGACTGGGAAGCGAAATAGCTCCTGGTTCGAAACAAAAAACCAAGTTTTTGGGATACACTTTTAGCAATTGATCTCACGTGAGTTTTCAAAGGAAGGTTATTGCGCTGATAGTAATACCAAGCATCGGAATAGATGTTTTCAAAGGTATGGTTACTCCTGACAAGCTTATGTTAGGCACAGTGAGATCGGCTTTTTTTGAGAAAAGGCATGCTTGTGTTTTGTTTGCAATGAAATCTACCAAGTTATTGGATCCCCATTCGAGAATTGTTGCCAAGTCTATATTTGTTGTTGTCATATTTCTCCCTCGTTCGTTTCTGATTTGCCCTGGAAGAGAAGGCGGTATGGAGGGTACTATATCATCTGCGAAGCTGTGTACTTGTCATGAAGTTTCTTCCAACAAATCGTTGATATGGAGTAGAAATAGTAGAAATAGTGTTGGTGCTAGAATTGATCGTTGCGGAACATCAGCATTTATGATAAGAGAGTCAGATGAAACTCCGTCGACCACTACATGGAGAGACCTATTTGATAGTAAACTAACTAGCAGAGAACATAGCTGGGGAGGCAAGCTATAAGATGGAAGCTTGTCGAGGAGTCCTTGGTGCCAGACTCGATCGAATGCCTTGGAGATATCAAGTGCCACGGCTAAGATTTCACCATGTTTTTCTATTGGTTGCTGCCATATATGTGAGACGTAAGCGAGCCAGTCACCAGTTGATCTCTGACGACGGAAGCCATATTGCCTATCGTTGATAATACCTGAATGTTCCAGGTATTTCATGAGCTCGATGTTGATAGCTTTCTCCATGATCTTTGAAATAATAGATAGCAGTGCGATCGGTCTGTAGTTGCTAGAAAGTGTCTTTCTGAACTGGCTGTACTCTTGCAATTTTCCAGTTGGACAGGAATATCCCCAATTTGTGAGAGTAGTTGAACAACTTGCAGAGAACAGGTGTATGTTCGGGAGCACATTTCTTTAGAACAATAGGTGGGATTCCGTCGCAGCCACAAGCTTTGTTGGTGTTGAGACCCAATAAAATCTTCCTTATAGTACGTTGGCGAAAGGTGATCTCGGGCACATGACAGTCAATTGTCGTTATATTTCGAGTGAGTGTATGCGAGAATTCTACGGTGCGTAATACAAACGAGTACTTTCACCCTTCTTCGATGCGTACTACAAGAGTCCTTTCACCTTTTCATTCATACTGTTTTCAATAATAATTCGTTCGGTGGCTGAGTGACTATCTGTGAGAATTCAGCGATGCATACTCCAACAGAGTCCTCTCACTCTTCTCCTCATACTGTATTCGTGTACTCAATGATAATTTGCGCGCGGTGGTTGAGTGAGTGAACGAGAAAATTCTCCAATGCCTTCTACAAAAGGGTCTTTTCACCCTTCAATTCATACTTCATTCAATAATAGATCACACGGTGGTTCAGTATGCGCGAGAATTCGTAGATGTGTACTACAACAGAGTCTTTTCAGCCTTCCTATTATACTGTATTCAAAAGACTTCTTCGATGCGTACTACAAGTCCTTTCACCCTTCAATTCATACTTCATTCAATGATATATGCGCGGTGGTTGAGTATGCGCGAGAATGCATCGAAGCGTACTACAACAGAGTCCTTTCACCCTTCCCTTCATTCAATAATAATTCACGGGATGGTTGAGTGACTAGAAGCGAGACTTCCTCGATGTGTGCTACAACAGAGTCCCTTAACACTTTTGCTCACCGTGTCCTCAAACAGGGACAGCCTATTTTGCTATGATTTTTATACAGCTCAGATTGTTTCACTCTCAGACTAAATAACGACAATAGATAGACCACGCGATCAATTCATGAAACATTAACAAATATACGTCAACAATGCTGAACGTCGAAGTGTGGAATCATTGCAATGCAGTCCGCCTGATAACTTTTTTTTTCAATTAGAGTAACTTGCGACTACTTGCGACATACGCCGAACGGTAAGTAATGATTCGAGACCCCGGGTTTTTAACACTTTCGCCGCCGGGTGTAACATTTATGTACACACTGCAATAACAAGAGTGTAACATTATTGTACACCCGCAGAACCGTTAATTGGCATCAAAACACATTTTTGGCCCACGGCGAAAAAAATCAAAATTCTCACGGCAGCGAAAGTGTTGATACAACTTCACCCACGTGGCATTCACCTTTTGGTCCACGATTTTTATTCAGTGAGCTCATATCCGTGTAGTGGAAGGTGGAATTTGGAGGGTTCCTATACTGCTGAGTGTGAAAAATGAGACACCAAAAAACACGTTGTGTGCTCCCGGTCTATTATTGCTTTACAATTTGTATTCGCATCAGCAGCTCCCAGTCTATTATTGCTTTACAATTTGTATTAGCATCAGCAGCTATCTGCTAATTTATTGAAATACCCTCTTTCTTACTCTAACTCGAAAATGGGAGACAAAGAAAGATATGAATATACATGTGTACATGCGTAGAGGAAGAACGATATGAGTGGAGCGAAAAACATATTCATGTCCTTGTTTGGTAAACCATATGATCTACTTCAAAATCGTTTTCTGTGAATATACAAAAACGTCAGAACGAAAGTGTCGAATACATTGAGGAACACTACCTACACACAGTGAACTGTCAAAATGAATAAGAATTAGATTCTAATAATAGTTTGTCGTTTTCAGATCCTGGGGAGAATTATACGGATTACGTAGCGACTCGATGGTACCGAGCGCCAGAACTTCTAGTCGGGGACACCCAGTATAGCACCCCAGTGGACGTTTGGGCCATAGGTGAGAAACATTATTGCTCTTTCCAATATTGATGTCAAGTCGACATGAAAATGACAAAACACTGTATATTGTTAAAAAAATTACACATTTCAGACAAATAAGTCGGGCACTATTTGTTTTCATTAATAATATCTAACAATATACTGGGTGTACAATATACTGGGTGTACAATATACTATGGTTTCCACGAATTATTTGAATCTGTGCTCACTTTCTCTCCATATAAACAAACACTTTTTTTTCTTCAAGTGAAATGATCTATATTTTTTTCCATAATTCAGATTGATGTGCTTCATCGAATTATCATTTCATTTGACAAAAACAGTTTTTACGCCATTCTGTATTTTGCTGATCCAAAGAAATGCGAGCTCAGATTCAAGAAATTCGTAAAAAAATATTCCTGCAAAATGTTCGAATAATCAACGAAAATATGTTGAGAATTATGAGAATAAGGGGAAGAGGGTGACACAAATAAGTGGGACACCCTGTACAATGTACCTCATTGATTTATCGAAAACAGTAAAACAAGCGCATTTTGTGTTATAGCCGTAGAAAAAAATTATTTTCCGCCTGTAGGGAGCAAAGTCGTAATTTTCCTCCCTAGGAAGGAAAAGTAAAAGTGTCGTCATGGTACGTCATCAATGAAATACTATATTCTATAATATACAGGGTTATTCACGTTATCCAACAAGCATTGTGGCTGAAGCATTTGGTTTTTTGAGTTTTTTTTGGATGAATAGGACCCTATCAGCGCTACATTTTAAAAATATCTTCATGCTGTACAGGGTGTGCCAAAAACCCGAAATGTATCAAAGTTGCCATTTTTTAAATGGAAAAACCTTGTATATTATTGCAGTTTTAGATTCTCCCTGGAGAACTGATTCCATCAATTATTTATCACACTTGGGGTCTAGCGGAAATGACTACAGAGATATAGGGTGTTCAAAATCGAGAATCTTCAAATTTAGGATTTTTTGTGCCGAATTTATTCAAGATTCAGAATTCTGATCACCCTATATCTGTTCCAATTACCCTATCACAAATTTGAAAAAATTTGTAAGATGAAAGAATGAAAATAACGTGCCTATAAGTTAAAGTGTATCTAGTTCTTGGTTTTAGTTCTTTAATAAATTTTGTTTGAGTTTCATAAATAAATTATTTAAAATGAATTGTTGTTTGAGGAAGGCGGAAAAATCATATGTATAACAAGTAGCACTTTGCTCCCTTATTATACAAATAGTTATTCCCACTCACTCCACCTTGCTTTGTTCTCCACATTTACGATGTTCTATCAATTTTTTTTTCAGGGTGTGTTCTGGCAGAACTAATCAGAGGAGAAGCCTTGTGGCCTGGAAAATCTGACGTGGACCAGCTGTACCTGATCAGCTGCACCGTAGGCGATTTTTTGCCTCGCCATATGCAGGCGTTCAAAAACAACGATTTTTTTCAAGGGATCATTTTGCCAGTGCCTTCAGAACTTGTTCCTCTGGAAGAGAAATTGCCCTCCTGCAGTGGTACAGTAATAGATTTTTTGAAGGTACCAACGGAAATTTGCTCAAAAGTGTATTTGTTATGTATAAAATGAAATTTGGGAAATGGGATTTGAGTAAACCGACAAACTCACGCCACGGAAGCGCGCGTACCATAAGACCGACATATTCATAAGTGGACCTCTATATATACTGGGTGATTTAGGGCACAAACTGAAATGTGTGATAGATCTGATCATTTTAATCAAAAAAGGCTTTATAAACATGAGTCCGATATCGATCAGTAGCTAAGCTACAAGGGGTCAAAGATTGATTATATTTTCTATTAATTACAATATCTTGCTCACTATTGAGGATATCAATTTGAAATTTAGTGAGGTTGTTCCTTCCTAGAAGATCACCATTTTGAGCATTTTGAAGATTTTCAAAATCTACAGGGTCATCTACAGGCTTCTTTATCCCACCCAAAATTTTTACTAGTACATCTCTCTGACATCATCAAGTTACCGGATTATGTGAATTGTTCGATTTAGAGACTTTTATTGCTCGTCAATTTATTTCGAGAAACGAACCGTTTTCGAAATAAATAAGCATATCCGTTCTAAAACAAGTTGAGTTTGTCTACATTTCGCATAAATTATATTCTTGGAGAAAATTCAACCAACAAACTAACAAAACCAGTTTGTAATTTTAGTACAATTTATTGCATTTTCTGCGAATGTCATCCAATAATAAAAGTTTTAGAACAGATATGCTTATTTATTTCGAAAGCGGTTGATTTCTCGAAAAAAATGTATCACCCTGTAGATTTTGAAAATCCTAAAATGACTTGAAATGATAATATTCTAAATAGTATTGACCATTGATGACTTTTTTTTTCAACTTTTGATTCATATTCAAATTGATTTTTGCTCACCAATATGAAAAAATGATTTGTCAAAATTTAATAATTAATGTTTTCAAATATTTTTATTATTCATCAGTTGATTATAATTGTATAGTTTTAGGCATTATTGTTAACTATACTTCCTTATACCAGAACTTGATTCTGACTGGAAGTAACATTTTCAATAAATAAATAAATAAATAATATTTCAATTAATAGAAAAAAATAAATAAACTTATTGACCCCCTGTAACTCCGCTACTGAACGAGATCGAACTGATGTATATATGAACTTTTCTGATTGAAATGATGAGATCTACCTCCCATATCAGTTTGTGCTCTGAAACCTGAATCAACCTGTATACTTATTTTGGGCACAGTGTATAATCTACTATAATTTGTTTTTTTTTGTTTCAGAAATGCTTGGACAAGGACCCTTCAAAGAGATGGACATGTGAGAAACTTCTCACACACAAATATTTCGAAAATTTCAATTTCAAAGTGGACGATTGTGATATTCAAAATGTAGATAAATCCGCTAGGGACAAATCAAGAGTAAGTGGGTATACAAAACCTAGTTTCCAAAAGAATCGAAAATATAATTTTTATTTCTGATTTTGGTTGGAATTAGGACAGTTTCTGACTGAGAAAATCTAGTACCTATCAGATCGCACTTGGAAAGTGTAATAAAACTAGGAAAAATTGTACGGAATTTTCTTTTTCTTTGTATTTGACATTGATTTTTAAAACGTCAATTCAATTTGAAATATATGCTACTCATATTTCATCAACCTCACCGTTCAAAAAAATAGAATTTTCGAATTCTTTGGCATTATGATTCAACTTTTTCTTTCTCAATGCAAATCAATAGAAAAAAAATTGTTACTAACTGTCTAGTAAATCTCACATAACCTTCAACTAGTTATTCTACAACTTCATATTCAAAACAATTTTTAAAAAGCGAAATGACAAAAAATTGTTTCACTTATGGAGTGCATCCCAGTTCAAGTGTACAGGGTGATTCACCATAAATGTCCCCCCCTCTAGCTCACTTATTTTTTAACCAATTTGAAAATTTGAAAAATCATCTTAAATGATTTTTCAGAAATTTTCTTCCCGTTGCATTAGAAAATACAGGGTGCTCGGAACAAACGATCTACAGAGTACTACTTGATTTTTTCAAATGGAACACCCTGTATTTCATTATATTTTTAGATTCTCCCTGAAGAGCTGATTTCATCAATGCATCACACTTTGGCTCTAGCGGGAATGATTACAGAGATATAGGGTGTTCAAAATCGAGATTTTTCAACTTTAGTATTTTTTTGTGTCAAAACTATTTATTATTGGTCAAAACGGCTTTAATGTCCTTATCTCAACTTTTGATTTACTATCTACTGACATTTAATTGGAATATATACGGTGTGTGGTTCAAGATTCAGAATTCTGATCGCCCTGTATCTGTTCCAATTATTAAATGTCCTATAATAAATAGTTTCGTCACAGAAAAATCCTAAAGTTGAAAAATCTCGATTTTGAACACCCTATATCTCTGTAATCATTTTCGCTAAACCCCAAGTGTGATGCATTGATGAAATCAGCTCTTCAGGGAGAATCTAAAAATACAATGAAAAATAGGGTGTTCGATTTAAAAAAAACAAATAGTACCCTGTAGATATCGTTTGTTCCGAGCACCTTGTATTTTCTGATGTAGCGGAGAAAATCTCTATCGAAAGTCATTTTAGATGATTTTTAAAATTTTGCAATCGGTTGAAAAGTAACTGATCTAGAGGGGGGGACAATTATGGTGGTACATGTTGACTCAAAAGTTTCAATCCAAGGTTTGAGTAAAATGAAAACTCAAGAAACCCGGCATTTAAGTATCAGTTATTTTCTATTTGAGATCAAATGTGTTTATTATCGATAGAGCTGAACGTGTTAATAATATACAGGGTGTTCTTATATGTTTTGTAGCTCAGTTTTTTGAGATAAAAGGTGTTGATGTTAGAAGAAGTATTTGACTTTTCCCATGATCGCCCTGTATAAGCTTTCATGATACCAACATTCAGTGTTGGATGACTGACAAATTATATGGCTATCAAGTTATCTCAATTGATAATGGATAAGTTAGATTCATAACATCTGAATCAGGTCTCCATTTTGTTCTTGAGAACTGAGCAATATTCCAGAGAATTCATGGAACAAGAAAGTTGTATTCCCTTGTTAATTGAATCTGTTTTACATAAATATTAATCTTAATCTTAATATTTTCATAATACAAATAAATCTGCTGAGCTCAACAAAAGAGGAGTTTTTGAGCTATGAACGAGAAACTTATATTTTCTCAAAAAACTTCAACAACTTATATCTATAGAAACCCAAGCAACATAACATAGGTACATGTTTACATGTACTTTTCATTTTCAGGAATTCTGTTGCCTATTGAATTTTCCGGAATACAATCTGAAACACCCTGTATATATTCAACTCAAATATATACAGGGTGACATTAATATGAATACATATAAATGGAATCCTAAAAACACCCAAGTTATTCAATCAAATTGCATCTTGTGAAAAAAAAAGGGAACAGAATTAATAATTTTAAGCAAGATACCATTTTTTGCCAATGCAAAGGAGGTACTAAAATGTTCCAAGTAATAAATGATGATTTTCAGTGACCAAAAATTCATATTTGAATTGAACTTGGATTTTTAACTGAATGAATAAATTATGAATAAATATCATATGAAAATATTCTTTTTTTTTTCAGAATTCTCTTTTGGGAACCAGCCTGCCACAACTGACAGGTTCGAAACCAGTCAGTCCATCCAGACCAGCCAACATTAGTCAACAAAAGTCGAAAGTCAATCATTTACCAACAATATGACAAAGGTTTTCATTGTTCAAATGAATTCAATTTTTGAACAAGCGAAAAAACAAAACTGTTAATGCAATAATTATAGGTACAAAGTGGAAATAAATGATTAGGAATTAAATGCAAACCTGAAAACAAACTTCCTACAATATTCAACAAGAATTAAAAAATCAATAAACTAATCTTTACTAATCCATGCAGATAAGTATAGTCCGAGGTATAGTCTGATGATTGGTAAGTAGGTTCCTGAACTATTGATTGTAATATTTCAATTTTTGAATGATTTTGATGCATTGAAGATATGTAGAACAAATCATGTTTTTGTCATGGGATTGAATAAAATATGAACTATGTTTGAAACCCTTGCATAAAACCTTATTAAGAGATGATAGTGATCACTGATCTTGTTTCAGTTGGCATCACATCAACCAAGACATCAACTGTTAGGTGAACTGAAACATATACTGGAAATTCTCATTTCAACAAAACTAATAATTTAATATACTAATAGTATTCCTAAATATTTACAAATATGAGTACTTGACCAAATCCTTCAGTCCCTTCCTATGGTTGGTGAAGGCTCACCTTCTGTAATCCCACTTATTTTTGTCATTGCCTTCTCTGTTAATGCTTTCAGTGCCTGAAAATACATTTTTACAAACCATTTGTTTTGAAATCAACTATTAAGCAGAGCATAATATGGAAATAATCTTGAAATTCTGAATCCTGACTCCTGAGAGAAGTTCTCTCCTAGAGACTTTTTTTATTTCTGTAGGCACTAGGCCTCAACCTTCAGATATTCGGTTTCAGGTACATAATTTCAATATTTCATAGTATCCTTTCATCAACGAAAATAAATAAATACGTACAGCAACTAGAGGAATTTCTTTTTTCCTTGTAGATTGATCAACCAAGTATGGCACTTCTTGTAATTTGGACCAGCCCCAATGAATTCCAATTATCAGAGGGATTCCTACTATGAGGACCACATTATCCTTCATCCATATTCCTAATTTTCCTTTAGACATTCTTGATTCTTGTGAATTGGTTGCAATTATTCCAAATTTTCAAGCAGAATGCACTGACAATAATATTAAAAATAATTATTCAGGGAATCAGGGCTAACCTCTTCTTCTTTTTTTTGTGTTCGACTTTCATCCAAGTTCTTCTTCTTATGATTATACTCTTCTCCGTGTGATCCGTGTGCTCTACCAGCAGGGCCAACGTTTTTTGAAACTTGAAACAAGTGAAAAAATATGTATATACAGGGTGAGCCATGACTAACCAGCCATAGCCTAATGGCGGATAGTGGAGGTCAAGGTGAGTTAATATATATGTAAAAACATATTCTGTCTATTCTTTACAGAAATACAGGGCATTATTTGAATTCGGGGCAAAACTTCAATGAACGATATATTTCAGGAACGACTCGATGTTATCGGCTGAATTTCACTAGCAACTTACCTCTACTGACACTCCACAAGATGACGTACTATGAATAAAAAATTCCAGATCCGTACTTGGAAAACTCATTTTATCTTTAGATGTCAAAATAATTTTGACCTTCTGGATCGGATTTTTCTGAAACTTTCATCAGAATCAGAAAGATCAGGAAAAACACTACAAGTATGGCTTCTCAATTCGTACGGCACACTTCGATCGTTTTGGTAAAAAAATATCAAACAAAATACCCATGAATTTTCCTTCGATTTCGTCCGGGCATATCACTCTCTAAATTCGACTTAAAGTATAAATAAATCAAATTTTTTCCTGGAATGATATTCAACAGCAGACTTGAGATAAGGTATAATTCAATAAAAAATCCAGGACCGGACTTGATTTTGGATAATAACAATTATAATTTCCGAAAAAGAATTGTCTGGATCTTAATATTAATCAAGATTCTCGAAATGTCCTCCTTCAATTTCTATACATTTTCTGCATCTTTTCGGGAGATCTCTTATGGCTTTTCCAAGAATTTGCCTATTATTTCTTATTATATCTGCAGCTGTAACTATCTTCTCCCTCAGTTTGTCCCTGGTGTTGATTTCAGTCTGATAGACCAATTGTTTCATATGTCCCCAAAGAAAATAGTCCAAAACTGTGAGATGTGAGATCAGAGGACCTAGGAGGCCAAGAATGAGGGTCGCCACGACCTATCCAGCGGTTAGGAAAATGGGTGTCCAGGTATTCTCTCACTTGTATTGTGAAATGTGGAGGTGCCCCATCCTGTTGAAACTGTTGAAAGTAAATACCTCTTTCATTCACATTTTGCGCCGCCAACAAGTTGGGCAGAACGTTCTGAAGAAAATAAGTCCCCTGTCAGTCGTGCCTCGAAAAAATGAGGCCCTATATCAAAACGTCATCCACCACACCACACCATACATTTAGGGATATCTCATTATTCTTGTGATATTTTCTCGTTAAGTTTGAATAGATTTAGATCTAGAATATATGATGAACTGTGAGATGGTTTCTAAGTGACTACATATATAAGTCTATTTTATTACTATACTTACTATACTTCCTACTCTGTAATTGGGGCAACCTGTTGAGTTTGTAGAATAAAATGAAATAAAATATTATATTATAAATTTGATAATACCGTGTACAGTGGTGTCAATTCACACCTTCATAGTGAAAAATTACACGGATATGTGATCATTTAGAGGAGTTCTGAAATATACATGCGAAAGAAACACCGAGAGGATGAAAAGTAGATACTTTCGATAGTGGTAAATACACTGCTTATTATATGAAATTAACACCTAGTTCGCACACTGACCAATCACGAATAAATCAAAACCCTATATGAATCATGAGATATAATCGACTCATCGGCTTGCATTCTCCCATGTCAATAAATAATATTGCTGATGTTGAAATTACCCATTGGAAAACCTAAATTCATTGAAGAATGGATAAAAATAGTGTGGCATACCTATCATCTTCCATGGATTCTGGTATATCCAGATTGATAGGTGACACTTTTCTATCTATACTTCCACGGGAAATGTTCTTCGGAAATCTCTGCTATCATCCCTTCACTAGCAATACCAATCAGACGAACTAGACAAGCCCAGTCAGCACATCCTTTCGTTGTCAACCTCGACAGATGTCGAACAGCACTTTATCAAGACTCCTTCATCCATAGAACGGCTAGGCTCTGGAATTCATTGCCTGTGGAAGTATTCCCAACAACATATAATCTCCAAAAGTTCAAAACAAATTCCAATACCTACCTCCTGTCCCTGATGTCCTCCCTAGGATATCCCTTTTCGTGGGAACCAGAACATACAAAAAACATCATTCATCAACACCCTGTATACTCGGAGATTTAAAAATACCTCTACGTGATATTCGAATTGAATGAGAATTTTCTCTTGTCCGCTGCATTTTTTTTCGTGTGACCCCGTTTTCGACGGAAGAAACGCCGAGTAGATGTAGATATCTATCGGAGCGTCTGCCGCGCTCTATCGAACGAATAAGTATTATTTTTCGCATCGCTGACAGCATGCTTTTGCGGCATATGGAGTGTGGAGAAGTAATTTGTGCATTTTCACTTGCTCATTCCGACGAAACTAATTATTTGCTTACATGATTGTGTATAGTAGGTGATTAGTGAGATTGTTAACATATTGATACCCGTTTTCCTTGTCTACTTATGCATACTTCACTTTCTTCGTTTTGTAGACAGACACAATATATATATGTTACTATACCCACATGTATATTCATGAGAAATTATGGTCCTGAAACGATTCTAGTTATAATTTTCTTCAAATTTGTTTTCTGACATTTCATTTCATCTCGAAAGCATCAGCGTGGAATGAAGAAAGTAGATTATTTCTTGAGTTCACCATCAGCCATTAATAGGTGATGCTATTGCTGCATTAATTGGAGATGTTTATAATTTTGTTGATAAATCAAAACCTGTGCTTTGCGTATTCCTGGATCTAGCCAAGGCATTCGACACAGTTTGCCACAAGCAACTATTGGATGTCTTGGAGGATTCAGTAGTGAGAGGAGTACCATTGAATTTTTTCATTGATTATTTGAAAGATAGGCAACAACAAGTCGAAGTAAAAAATAGTCACAGCTCCTACAGAACTATAAAATATGGTGTACCGCAAGGTACAGTATTAGGACCTATATTATTTTCTTTGTACATCAACAATTTACTACTGCTGAGATCTAGTGGAAAAATCATCAGCTTCGCTGACGATACGGCAATAATCTACTCCCCAAATACATGGTACGACCTCAAAATTAAAGCAGAAACAGACCTTTTGAAAATTATCAACTGGTTCAGACATAAAAAATTGACAGTGAATTATGAAAAAACTTTTTTCGTCCCTTTCACTAGTTATGCAAATACACTGCCAAACTTTACATCTCTAAACATTACTGAAGGACCCAATATGATAATATTAAAATAAAATCAAGCCATCAAATCAAGTACCTAGGAGTAACAGTTGATTCACACCTAAGATGGAATATTCATATAGATAATGTTGCACGAGTTTTGAGAATGTTACTTCATAAATTAAAATACCATACATTCCCGGCATATCTGAAAACATAAAACGTGTTGGTGATTTTTTTGCAAGTGAAAACTGTGTTCAAAACTGAAAATACAATGAGATCAATTCTAACTCGAACAAAGCCGAAAAATGAAAAATAATCGTCGAAGAATTGTATTTACAGTATACCTTGTGTTTGTGGAAAGTTTTATACAGGTGAAACTAAAAGACCTTTTTCAGTAAGGACGAAGGAACATAAGTACGATATAAAGATAAGACACATCGACAAACCGAAACTAGCTGAACATATCCTTACTGAAGATGGACAACAGATAACAACCAGAAGAGAAAAGTTAAGGAATCTGCTTGCATTCTTCTGAACGGAGACAATAGATTGCTTCCTGTTCAGTTGATTTAGATAGAACATGATATTCACTATTGAAATCTGGAAATGGTAAATTCAAGATTAATGAATGAAAACATCCTGTA